CAGCTAGGTCAGGCCAGAGGCAGCAAGGAGGAAACCGTTGCCGTCTCTTTGCAATAACCTCCGAGGGCATCAGTTGTGTGACAAGCAGGCCCGTGTGAACAACAAGTTCTCGTCGTTGGCTGCCTTTCGGCTGTGCATCGCCTTGCCTCAGGTCTCTGTTCTGTCTCTTCGATGCCTGCCCTCCCTCACGCATGAAATCAATTAATTAATTCAAGAGCCCAAGATTGGAGAGAGTGCGATGGGATCGGCAACCGCCTGAGAGTTTGATGGTGCAGGTTGCCAGTCTGGGGAGGTAGTAAAGGGGGAGGAAGGGGGTGAGTTGACAACCGACTCCTCTCCGACCCCTCCCCCCTCCTCAAAGACTGCAGTGCTTACACAGCCGCGACAGAAATAGGGACCGCTTACCTACTTGCTGTGGCCCAGGGATGCCTGCTTCGATGAGCTCAGAATCATAACCAGATGTCCTGTAAGAATTGCCAATGTAACGAAGAGTCTTGTCAATGTCAGCACTCAACGTCTCAGTTGGTCGCCCTACTTGGGCATACCTAACCTCCTCTTCTTCTTCTTCTTCTTCTTCAGTCTTCATACCGAGCGAACGCAGTGTCAGAAGGCGCTATCCAATCATCGCGCCTCGCCGCTTTCAAGATCGCGCTGCGTGAAGTGGACAGAGTCGAGTCAATTCTCAGATGTCATGCAGTTCCAGCCGAAGATCATCGTGGAAACAAAGCCCCTCGATTGCAGTGGTGACCTTCGTGATGAACCGTATCGTTGTGCAGTTCGGCAGGCTGCTGCCGGTTGCCAGACTTGACTACGTAGAGCCGTCATGTGTTGCGACCCGTCCGCCCCGCACAGATTTGCCTCTGTGACCTGAGATCGTCGATACCAGGCTTATCCCGACCTTCAGGTGGAGAGGGTGTACCGCCGGAATAACATGTACATGCCCAGAACGTAACGTCTGTCCCCTCCGGAGACCTTTACAGGAAAGAGGGGGAAAAACGCATGACCGCTGCTGTTTGTGCTGTTGCCTGCTCTGATGTGAGATTGAGATTCCACAACATGGAGCACATGTGCAAATTGTTGTTGGTCGGCCACCTGAGAGTCATTTCATGGGTAGTGTGCGATGCGACCTGGAGCTATTCAAAGGTACCTTGGTCAGCGGGTTTGTCAGAATCACCCAAATGCGTCCCAGTAGGACCACTTCACCGCAGGCCTAGCCCGACCACCCCTGGTGACCCATCACGGTGGGAACCCCTTTCGACAGGCTCGGGCTACCCGACCTATGGGTGTCGATCTTTTGTCCAGTCGCAGAGCTGACCATTTGTATGCACATGCCCAGGCAGGTGCACTACCGTGTATGCCGCAAAGTCTACCCAGCGGGCCTTGGCCTTGCTGGAGCCCTATGTTGTTGCACTCTGTCATGTTAATAAACTCGCGAACCAAGATGCCTCGCGTCGTGCTTTTCGGAGCAGATTGCAGTTGTCGGAATGGTGCGAGGGCCCACCTATCCCACCAGATTCAAGCTTCCCGTTGCGGGAGTCGGTGGACAACCGGCTGGTGGAGACGTGGGCTAATTAGGTAGCTTCGAACCCTTTCATCTTTCTTGTTTGTCCGCCTAACCCCGCCGTCCCATCATCAGATGCAAACGCGGGGATCCAAGCCCGAGCTTGTGCCTCGATGTGGAGTCAAGACTGTATCGCTCCATCGCGGAAATCGACCAATTGAATGCTGGTAACTCTCCCCAACGTGCCTTTTGCCTGTTTCTCGTCATCCCATCTCAGGGCATACAGGGGAGCTTCAAGCCAGTCTCATAGTTTCAAGGTTTCCTAGTTCTGACATTTTCGTGGTGATCTTCCCTCCGTGTTTCAAACGCTCGGGACCGTACAAGTAGTTGTATGTCCGGGTCCTCAGGTATTGGGAGCGATCAACAAGTGGCGAATGCTGCGTCTGTACATGTAGGCGTGGGGGCAAATTGTCACTGCACTTGGAGACGCAGCTCATCATCGCCTTGCGCGTCTCCGTGGCACCTCGTAGCAGATAGCATTGAGGAGACGAAATGAGGTGGCCAACCAGCAGTTACCGGGTCTCGCTGTGAAGGCTCGACTGCCATCGCGGGCCAGACCACCGTTTAAGACAGGCGAGCCATCACCCATAGGTACTATTGGGGCGGCAACCCAGTGCATCCAGTGTCCCCAGCACATAGGCTCATCGTGGCGAAATCCCGCGCTTCCCGTCAGGAACCGCTGCGGGGACCTGCGGATGTTCGAGCCCGAAGCATCAGTGTCCATATCGTCCGAGACCCGATGAGAGAAGCAGGAGTAGGCGGGCGAAATGACGAGTAGAGGCAAGGTGTGGACGAGATTATCCTTCGCATTTCAAAACTGGACCGGATGACCCCCATGACTGATCGAGCTTGGCACTTCATGTAAGTAGACATGCAGGACCGATGTCCGGATGCTGTTCCATTCGGTCAAGGATGCAACTCACTCTTGGCTGGTGCTTTGCCGCGACAGTCCGAGGTCCGGTTTTCGGGCCACCCCCCCCCCCCCCTTGTGCGGCCGCAGCACTGAAGGACCCTGACATGGTGTCTATTGGCCGCTTCGCTTCCGGAGAGCGAGCAGGGTGGTATCGACTGGGGGAAACCCTTCGAACAGCCACATGGAAGCTCTGAAGAAGGCCTGTCGCCATTATTGCAAGGCTGCAAGGTTGCGTGGGATGCATCACCTCGCTGGTTGACGGTTGTGATTCGTGAGGCATGGCCCCCCGTGTCTCTCGACGCGTATGAATGCGGGTGTGAAGTGAACGTTGCGACTTGTCGAACAACCTAGCTGAACTAGCTTGTCCAAGCCTAGTGGGTGTGCAGACAGCCGGCCCAACAGCGGTCGAATTACCCATAGGCGAAAACCCCGGTGCTCTCGCCTTGGCTAATGGATTGCCTGTTGATCGTTGACGTCTGAAGTCTGCGAGATACGACGGTTGTAAGTCGCGACAAGACGTCGGGCGCGACCAGAGTCTCCTCAACCCCAGGTATCCATTTGCAGCTCACCAGTTCCCCCATGCGTGCCCCCTCTGTCGGTCGGGGATCTGTGCCCTTGTCTCGATTCTCCCGCCTTCCCGTTCATCTTCGATACAGCGAGTCATGATGGCTACATGTTCTCACCTCCATGGTCTCGGTCAGAAGAGCGCGCGTATTCGACGAACGGCGTCCGCGCGATGAAGTCGGTACCCGAGTCGACGTGGCGTCGGCAGATGGTACGCCAACGCACCCATCAGGGTGGTGGAGGGTGGTCGGGCGCTGCGAGCTGTCTTCTTGGGGTCTCACGAAGCGATGGTGCAGACGCTCTCCGACCCCAGCTACTGAGGGCAGCCCTGGGCCCCTAGTGCAGGTCTCATCAACTTGGCCTGGTCAAGCGCGGCGCTGCATGCCAAGAGATTGTCTTCGTCAGACGATGACATGCCGGTCTTGCCAAGGGGAGACTGCCCGTTGCGTGAAGCCAATGGACGATTCTGGCAGGCGTCTGGGAAACCAAGGAGTAGTATCTGTAGGCGAGTGTGGCCATGGGATGGGCATCCGTAGCAAAGCAGGCTGACATGAGGACGCGTGCCTTGCCTGAACGATAGTGATCATGATCATGATGACAACTGATTGCAGAGCTGCACGAATGGAGCTATTGCAAGGATCAGGCACCCCCGGGTCTTCCTGCCTGGGCCTCAAGGGGACAGACGGACGGTTTTCGGGAGAAGGAGATGCCGGGAAAGAGTCGGGGAAAGACAGTGTTGATTGGAAGATACCGGACTGTCGAGCTGAGCCAACCGACGCCACCAATACGCGGCTCACAGGCGCCTGGCGGCAAGCGCGACTATGTGATAGGCTCGACCCCACCTTCTCGCTTCGTAGGCGCCCGCGCTTAGGCACGTCGGTTCCAGGCACAAACAAAGGAAACATGCCTCAACGACAACACACCTTCGCCGTCTGAGATCTGAGATCAGGCACTGAACGACAGCCCCGCGACCGGCAAGACGCACGAAGAGTCATCTGGGCTGCAGTCTCTTAGGTCGGATGGGTGTCCACTGAAGATACGCCTTGGATCTGCCGATGAGCCTCTGACGACCGAGGTCCACGATGGCCATGACCGCGTCAAGATGGGCTGCCCAGAGGCAGAAGCTCTTCATATCCGTCTTTGATACGGAAGTCTCACAGCCCACACCCTACTCGACGCCATCATTACGATCAACCGACTTGGGGCAGCCGTTCGGTGGTCCGCCTGCTGCAGCAGCCCAACCGCATATCAACCTCCAATCCCTGGATTCCACAGACACGCCAGCAGCAGCAGCAGCAGCAGCATCCTCCTCCCCCCCTTCCTCCTCCGCCACCCAAATCACCGATCAAGCCCGCTGGGATCGGGCCTGGCACGCAGTGACATCGCGCGTGCAGCTTCCCCCTTCGGTCGCCGCCGAGGACTCCTTCGGCTCCCTCGCCTCGGAGTCCCAGGACCTCACCAACCCCGACTTCTACGCGAGCCTGCAGGTCGTCCTCCAGCCCTCTCAGCGCGCCCCGCACGCCGCCCACACGGAGGACCTGTTCTCGTGGCACACCCACCAGGTCCGCCACCATTTCGTGCAGCACGTCCTGCCCCTGCTCTCCGCCTGCGCCGGCCACGGCGACGCGACGCAGGTGCTGCTGGGCAGCATCCGCACGCTCGAGGCCGCGCACCGCCAGTACTTCTATGGCCTCTCCCTCATGGCGCGCGGCCTAGACGAGTCCGCCGCCGAGCGCGCCGTCGAAGCGTTCCGCCGCGACCTGCACGCCCTCATCAGCAACTCCATGGCCCCGGCGCTTGTGGACGCGCTACGCCGCGTGCTAAGCCGCCTCATGCGCGTGCTGCTGCGCATGCAGCCCGAGTCGGCGACCTCCTCTGCCAATTCAGCGGCGTCGCCGCATGCAGGTCGCGGCGGCGGCGGCAGGAGCGCCAGCGCCAGCAACCAGACGGATGGCGCCAGACGCGAGCTCCGTCAGCTGGTCGAGGCCTTGCATAAGGTCGGCCTGGCCGGAGAGAAGTTCCAGGTCCTCTTTGCCGAGATGATGGACGCCCTCATGGTCGAGCACATCAAGAAGTCCTTTGCCGGGGTGTGGACGCAGCAAACGCAGACGGCGGCGGCGTCAGCGGCACCACTACCGCCACCCAGACCGCCACGATCATCCCTGCGCCGCGCGGGCTCGCTGTCGCCGTGCATCGCCTCCCTGCACGACTGGGTCGAGAACCACTACGCGCGTCTGGCGGTTGAGGTATTTTGACCGCCTTGGCGCCGAGTTGGTCGCCTGGTAAGCATGTCGAAAGAGGTGGAAGGAGATTGCGGTTGGGCGCTTGGCGGCTACGCGCATCCACGAGCTCTTTGACATTGTGCTTCCACTGGCCCGAGAGCAGAGACGCCCTTGACGATCTG